GGGGCCCTGCCTGCCCGCGCTGGACATGGGGCTCCACAGGGCTCCACAGGTTTCTCCGTGCGCTGACAGGCCACATGGACATAGTAGGGGCAGGAAGGACCCCCCCCCCCAGGTCAGTTCTAGCTCAGGGCCATTGAAGTGTTTTATTTTGTTTACTGTCTAGGAGTCTGTGACTCAGACCCTGGGGGGCCGGTTTGCCCTTTGAGTATCTCTTCCTCGGGTTGCCTGAATGAAGTAAGTGGGGGAAGGAGTAAGGGGGAGGGGGGTGGGGTGGGGATGGAGGAGTCTATCCACACATAATATGGATATAATGTGTAATGTTAATATATGTGCATTACTACATGGATAATGTAAGTGAATGTGTATTTACAGGGTTGTCTGTGCAGGTAAATGAACAGTAAAAATGCTGGCAGCTTGCACCCTTTGTCATGAGGCTTGGGGTCTTTTGCTGATGCTTTTGTGCTTTGTTCGCTTGAAAGCCCAGCTGGAGATTCAAACCTGTGACTTTCAGTGTCCTCAATGGGTAGGTTCTTCACATTTGGGACGGGGGGATCCCACATGCCTTTGAGCATCATCCCAGAAAAGCACATACAAAAACACCAGACGCTGAAAAGAATTTCCAGGGTTTCCAGCGTTTCTCAGATCTTGGCTCCCCACTCCCCAACCCCTCTGCCCAGGGATGTCTGTCTCCTTCCTCTGCATTTCTGTTTTCCTTTCAGAAAGACCTCCCAGACTTCTCTTTAAAGAAGCCTTAGCCACCTCGCTGGCTCTTCTAACATAGGTTCCATTTCTTCTCTAGCCTTGCAGCCTGGTGTGTTAGTCCTGTTTGCTTTTTGTTGTGTTTCATGCCAATAGAGTGTAAAACTCTCTGAGGGCACGGGCCTTGCCTACCTGGTGCACTGCTGCATCGCCATCACTGCAGACCTGCTAAGGCACCTAGGAGACAGGGAACGGGAGATTGCCTAGGCCCTTGGAAGCCTCTCCTGCTTCCCCTCTGGGGCCTCTCCCGCTTTCCATTCTGCAGCTCTGAAATACAGACCTGTTCAGTTGTGCTCCTAAGACCTAGCAAGTCCACGTTCTGTAGCCAGACTTTCACCTTTGCTGGGCCTACTACCTGTCGGATGTGTCAGGTTGTGTGACTCTCCTAAACACTCTCCTCCTCCCTCCTTTTAATATGCCATAGTATGTCCTGTGCATGGAGCTCTGGCTCGCATGCTTTCCCTGACACCCCAGGGAGAATAAATCACTCCTGTGAGATCCCTTTTCAGGTTATATATAAATGATTGGTTGATAATTCCTTGTTCTCCGTCACATTATAATTATTCAGTTATAATAGCTCACTCATAAGCTTTCCAACATCTTAAAGGCAAGACCTGGTCTAGTGGAGTGCCTGGCGTTGGAGGATAGCCTCTCAGTAAATGTTTGAATTAAATTACTCCAAAGATAACGTCACCAGAATATAAGGTGTGGATGGTGTGGTTACTATCATAATGCTAAACATTTTATATAGTGGGACCAATCTTTAAGACTCAACATGGGCCCTCCCTTGTGGCACAACGAGTTAAAGCTCAGCACTATGAAGTTGGCCACAGCCACTTTAGCACCGGTTCGATCCCCAGCCAGGGGGGTGACCCACAGGGCGCCGCAGACCTCTCCTGTCTCTTCTGCTCCCCTCAGCAGTGCACTTCATCCATCTGCCTTTTCTGCTCCTCAATCGGTCTCTGGTGAACCCTCTCACACACCCCCCCCCCCGCACCTCTAGCTTGTACCCCAGACCTTGTATGCATAAGGTAACTCTTTAAAAGAGAAATAAAATCTATGTATTCTGAGAATGAATGGGGGTAGTGCTGTGCACAGATATGCTTCCCAGAGTGAGCTGAACACACTTGCTGCTGCTATGTATCTGTGGCTGGTCCTTTGCTAAATTCTCCATCACATATTCCCACCTTTATTTTGATTTTTATGCTAAGACTTGACTTCTGAGCTTGAGTGGCTTCCTCAGTCTTCTCAGCCTCTGGCACCCACAGCCCTGTTTTCCTAGCCTTGTATCATAAACACCCTTGGAATTGTGGCTTATGTCTCAGCATCCAACTTACTTTTTGGTGCCAGGAAAACTGTGGCTGGACTCCTCTTTCTGGTAGCTGGGCCCCTGCTTGGCACGGAACACTCTCTTCAGAACACTCTCTTTAAGAAACTTGGAGATGATCTTCTCCCTTTGAACGTTGCTGAACACTTTGCCATCTGGAAGCCAGCTGATCTTGTCACACCCACCATGGCAGAGGGGAAGATGCTCCGGAGACACAACAGCCTTCTTTGGAACAAAAAGAAAAAGAGAAAGGAATTGTCCTCGACCCAAAAGTCATGAATCAGAGCTCAACCTAACTAGAAAAACAACCCAGGACCTGCCGCTGCTATGCTGTGGGATCAATTTAATTAGTAACACTCTGCTCATGCCCAAGTGGCCCGGCTGGCCCGTCATAGCAACTCATCGTCACAATAAGGAAAGGCACACAGGCTTCGGCAGAATCTTTCTCACCCTCCCTGGCGAGAAATGGTCTCTCACAAATGCCACTTGGAAAAGGTCTATGTGCTTATTGCTCATTGAAGACTAGACATGGACATAGGCAGGTTGAAAAAACAAGATATAAAGTGTGAGGGTGTGTTTGGTCCGAGCACATGGGCCTGGCTGACTGCTGTCAAGACCACATAGGTTTCCCTTCTCTACCCTGAGCTCCTGTCTTAAACAATGTCATTCACTAATGAGGTAGATTCCTCCAGGGAATACTGATGCCTGCAAAAATCAGCTTAGGGCCCTCCCTGGTGGCTCAGTGGGATAAAGCATAGCACTGTGAAGCTAGCCACCGCCTCTTCAACGTGAGTTGGCTCCCCCACCAGGGAGGTGGCCCACAGGGCGCAGCAGACCTCTCCTGTCTCCCCACTGCTCCCCTCAGTAGTGTGTTTCAATAGATCTGCCTGTTCTGCTCCCCATTCTTTCTGGTGGATCCTCTCAACCCCACCCCCCACCCCTCTGCACCTCTGGCCTGTACCACAGTTATTGCTTGCATAAATAAATACATCTTTAAAAAATAATAAAAATAAACTACACTCAAGGCACTGGGAAGGAAGTAGCCTCTGGCTATGAGGCCATTCTACCCCACCCCTCCACCAATCCCCTTCTCTGCAAGAACCCCTGAGATGTTGAGAAGCACATTATATTCAAGAGATCTTGTTAGTTCTACAACATACTTCAAAGGTAATTCCTTCAAAGTCTACTTTTTTGTTTAAGTTTTATTTTTAAGTCTGCCAACTAAACATGAAGCAATGTTGTTTTCTGTGTCCCGTTCTGGATGCTTCTGTAATTTATGATAGAATCATGATGGTTTGGTGCTTTTATGTCTGGGGAGCAGCTGGCACACTAACTTTTGCATCACCTGCTCTGCCCACGTGATTTCCCTATTTCTCACCACTCTGCAAAGTGATTACCTGCCAGTTCATAGAGGAGAGCGGTTATGGTGACCCTGACTCAGTGGCTGAGCCTGTTGAAGGAGTGGCTACCGTAAACCTTATTACTGGCATCTGTCCCCAGAGTGGGAGTAGTTCTCAGCAGCTTCTGTCTTGATTGGGGCTGCGCTTTCAAATGGGGTGCTGGTGAAGGATTATTTAGAACTTGTCCTGGGCTCTGGCTTGGCTCCACAATGAAGACATCCGAGGGCGGGAAAGCTAACACCAAGCATTTTGCTTTGTTTACTTTGTCTCTTCACGGTTCATTTGGATAAGAGGGTAAGAAGCAGCTTGACTTTTTACCTGTGTTAATCTGGACATTTCCTCAGTTTTTGGACGATGGAGCTTTTCCTCAGTTCAGCTCGAGAACTATGCTGATGTAACCACTCTCCCTCAGGGCCTGGCTGGTCTGTGGAGCTTAATTATGTTCACACCAGGACACTGCTTCTCCTAAGTGCCAGGTTGAATGCTCACCAGGGTTCCTCCTTCCCTTCAGGAAATCACTGTTTTCCTCAGACACTGTCTGTCACTGACAGAAGAGTGGAGTTTCCACCTCAGATCCCTGTCAGACTTGGCATGACATTTCCAGAGTGACTGATTTCCACTGGTTGGAAGCTGTAGGATGGGCCCTCCGGGTTCCGGGGTAAGATTCAAGGTTCACTGTGACCCTCGGAATGTTCGGTCACCAGAGATCCAAAAATAGACTCCATGCTATCTTCTTAGAGATGGAGGGAAGCCTGGGAACAGAACAATAGCCGGAGACATCACACTTCAAATCTTGCTGTGGGCAGAGAGTTGCACGGGCCATCATGGGGACCAGCAAGAAAAATCAGATCATACTGAAACTCCCAGTGACAGACAAGTTCAACACATCGAAAAACTATCGCCATCCTGAGGTTCTGAGACACACCTTTGAGATGTTCTCTAGCCTACACAAGCTGCTTCCAAATCATCTCTTAGAGAAACTTCATTCCTACAAGAGTGAAGAGGACAAACGAAAATGTATGTGTTTGGGTGGGAACCCTCCCTTGAATCAGCACGCACTGTGTCTTGGCACAGACTGACTGTCCTTCAGCCATGAGTAAGTTTGGACCAGTCCTTGAGACCCAGGTCTCCATGTGGACTGAATTTACTGAAGGGGTCCATATTTGCAGATATTATTGTGGAATTCATCCCTCTCCTCATCTCACCACCACAGCTCCTTTCTGTTATTATTTTATTAAGGTGACATTGGTTGATTCCACCATATATGATTTAGACGCCTCTTCAGATGTACATTATCACACCACCTGCACCTCCAAGGGACCCATAATCGGTCACCACAATCCATTGGGCTCCCTCCACTCTGACAGGCTAAATTCTGTCCAACTTCTGCTTAGAAATGAGCATTCACTCATTTTCCATGAGTGAAATCACCCAGTGTTTTTCTTTCTTCTGATTGATTTTTGCTTATTATCTTCCTTTCCACTGCCCTTTATGTTGGCACAGATGTCAAGAGTACATCTTTTTCACAGCTGAGTAGTATTCCATTACATATATGTACGACCACATCTTTATCCAAACCTTGGTCTTGGGCACAGGGTTGTGCCTATACCCTGGAAGCTATAAATAGCCTTACCATCATCTCTCTCCTTTTGTTTAACTAGTCATTTACAAACCAGAATGTCTGTTCTCTTCTTTTGGCAAAGCATACCAATAGCAAGATAGAAAAGAGACCGAGTGGATAATAATCACTAAAATTGCAATTTCAGCCTTGGATTTGATTTTAAGATGAATGAGAGAATTTCCAGCTTGAAGGTCAGGCTCTGAAGTTTCTCTCTGCTCTGCTTCCTGCTATTCCTTCCTCCTGTGCCAGGATTACCCCAACCCAGAAAGAAACGGACATTTCCCCTGAGGACTATAAGCCACTTACACTGTTTGCAAATTGGAGTCCTCCTGTCCACCTGCCTCCTGTAAATTGTTGGGGAAGTTGATAACTGGAGTGATTTGCAGAATGGGGTGGAGCCCACCCTCTCAGCTGTTCACCTAAATAAAGGACAAAGGTACATGATAGCTCCCTGTTGCGCATGAATTTAGAAAACAAAATGTTAGCTGCTGGAGTGATCACAAGGGATTAACACACAGTGTGTGTATCAGTATATATCAAGATTTTAAAGCATTATGGCAAATTTGGCCATTTGTGGTCTGATTAAGCTTGAACTTCTGAATCCACAGAATTATGAATTAAGCCCACTATCCAGGTTACATAAAAACCATCAAGGAAAAAAAAATAACTTAGTAGACTGATGAATGTTACAGGCCGGCAATTCACTGCATGAAATACAAATCACGGGTCCTCCCTGGTGGCGCAACAGGTTAAAGCATAGCACTGAGAAGTTCTCAGCAGCTGCTTCCCCATGAGTTCGATCCCTGGCCAGGGAGTGACCCACATGGCACAGCAGACCTCTCCTGACCCGCCCCCTGCACCTCTGACCTGTATCCCAGTTGTTGTGTGCATAAATACATCAGTCTTTAAAAAAAAAAAAATAGAAATCACCCACAAACATGAGAGATGTTCATACAAATCAAGAGATAAAGACAAACCAAGGAGTTATTTGTAGGTCGACATACTGGTCAAATTGTTAAAGCTCAAGATGATAAACTGGGGGAATGAATCACCTCATTTATGAAGATGGCATCTTCACTGGTTGGGGCTTCTTTGAGGATAATTTGTCAAAATTTAAAATGTATGGGCCCTCCCTGGTGGTGCAACAGGTTAGGATGCAACACTGCAAGCGAGCGGCAACCACTTCAGTGTGAGTTCGATCCCCACCCTAGAGGTGGCCCACATGGCACAACAGACCTCTCCTGTCTCGCCTGCTGCTCCCTTCAGCAGTGTACTTCATTAATCTGCCTACTCTGCTCCCCACTCTGTCTCTGGTGAATCCTCTCACTGCCCCTGCACCTCTGGGCTGTACCTTAGTACTATATGCATTAAATAAATAAATCTTTAAATAAATTTTTGAATGCAAGTCAGGCTGACATGTTGAATGAATCGAACTTAGTCGAGGGCACACAGAAAATAATTATTTCTATTGCACAACTTCTAGCATTGACCCATTCCACTGACCTTGACTTCCCACCTGCGGGGAAGGTTGCCAGTCCTTCCTGGCCATACACAGGTAACAGTTGATCTACTCTGCAAACACTGAGCCTTCACTCTGTTTAAAACCTCTCTGCTCCCTACTGCTCCAGCCTGCATTGGGCTCCCAAGCTGGGTGTAGGCCTGGCGGGATTTCTTTCTCCTTACTGTTCCACCGCCTCCTTCTCTTGACAAGCGCAAGGGTGGAGGATTATCGAAAAGCTTTTCCTTGACTGGTAAAATGCCAGATTATCACCCGTCATCTGTGCTCTCAGCAAGTGGCAACATTCCAGAGCTCTCCATGTCTCCCCAGAGCATTTGTGGAGGTGTTCTGGAGCTTTCCTTCTGTGGCGTGCCTGCCTCATCTCCATCCCTCGCCCAGCTTTTATGGGATACACCTCCATCTCCACTCAGCAGAGATTGTCTCTCATACTTTACTAGACGCCCTCAGCAGAGAACGCAAACCAGCGTCTCTTGTGGGGGTTTACCAATGGCTTAATAGAAAACATCTGTCCTCTGTGCCTTGTCCAGTTGCTGCAAGTTCAACTGGCTTCCAACACTCTCTTTTTTAAAGATGTATTTATGTATGCATACAAGAACTGGGATACAGGCAGAGGTGTGGAGGTGAGTGGAATCACCAGAGACAAGAGTGGGAAGGGAAACCAGCAGATTGACTGAAATGCACTGCTGAGGGGAGCACTGGGCAGGTCAGCAGAGGTCTGCTGCACCATGTGGGTCACCTCCCTGGCCCGGGACCAAACTCATGCTGAAGCAGCTGTGACTATCTTTGCAGCTGCACTTTAATCCGTTGGGCCACCAGGGAAGGCCCACACTGTAGGATACTATGAAAAAGAAGATCGGTGTTCCATTTCTACAAAGTATATTGTAGGTTTTTAATAAATAAACAAGCTGCCCAATAAAAAAAACCCTGATTTCATTTAAGCCAAAAGAAGTCTGTATGTTAGCAGATACAGATCTGTCTGTGCATGCATTGAAAAGAGTCGTGGAGACACACCAGATTCGCGTCAGTGGCCAGAGAGTGATCATATTCTTCAGAATACGAGTATGGATGTGTACTTTTAAGAGGGCTTTATTGATTCCAGTGGAGACGCAATGGAGAAATAACTTTGTAGTTTTAAAGTGCAGTCTTAAAGCTGAAAGTGCAGAAAGTGTTAAGTGTTAATGTGGGGGAGGTGGGTTTGGATTTTCCTTCTTTCCTTTTTTTTTTTTAAGATTTCTTTATGCATACAGAACTGCAGTACAGGCCAGAGGTGCTGGAGTTGTGAGTAGATTCACCAGAGAGACTGGGGAGCAGAACAGGCAGATTAACGAAGTACACTGCTGAGGAGAGCAGTGGGTGAGACAGGAGAAGTCTGCCGCGCCATGTGGGTCCACTCCCTGGCTGGGAATTGAGCTCGGGCTGCAGTGGCTGTGGAGAGCCTCACAGTGCTGAGATTTAACCCCTGTGCCACCAGGGAGGGCCCCAAGAATTTGTCATTTTTGTTAGAATTTCCTCTCTCTCTAAGTTATCCCTAGCAGATTGCAAAAAGGATTTGAGGGAGTTTATTATTGAAAGGTGCATATTCAATAAAGAATAAAAAAGTTCATTTGAGACAAAAAAATTTTTCCTTAGCCGAATGTCACCAAATACCTGAGTTGAGTTAATTACTCAACGAAGCGTTGCAAGTCTACCAAGCAGAGAAAACCACATGCTATTTGTACTGTTTGAGTATGCCCACGAGAGCTTCTGGGTGCCCCTCGCCCTCTGCTATGTGGTCCCTGAGCTACACACACACACACACCCTGCTCAGAACATGGCGTAGAAGTGTCTGGGCGATGGGGTCCCCCTGGTAACGCAGTGGGTTAGAGTGCAGCCCCGTGGTGCTCTGACAGCCGCCACAGCGCGAGTTCGATCCCCAGCCAGGAAGCTGATCCTCATGGTGCATCAGACCTCTCCTGTCTCCCCACTGTCCCCCTTAGCAGTGGACTTTAGTTGTTCAACCTGTTCTGCTCCCTATTCTGTCTCTGGTGAATCCTCTCACCGCCCACACCTCTGGCCTGTAGCCTAGTTCTTGTCTGCTTAACTAAATAAATCTTTAAAACAAAAAAGTGTCTGGGCCAGCTTTTAGACCATGAGGCAGGACCTGATTCCAGTCCACCTATAGTGGTTTTGGGGCCTCCAAGGCCCAACCTAATTCACCAAGTCCTGTGCTATCTAGTCAGACTGCCAAGCTGTGGTCCCTCCAGCTTGGTTTCCTGGGGTGTCTCCCAATGACTGTGAGGAGTTGCTTCTCGTGCTGCAGCCTGAGACATAAAAAAGCTGGTTAGTTCTGACAGACATCCTCTGCAGAGCTTCCCTGAATCTTTCTGGGGTTCAGCTTCTTCTACATTAGATTTATGATAGCTCTCATGTTTCTCCAGTCAGCCCAAAATGAATGGCAGAGCCCTGCTAAAGGATCCTGCAATTTGGCTTTTGGTTCTTCCACTCCTGGCAGATCTGGGGGTTGAAGACATGCCAACATGTCCCTGGGACACACAGAGAGAGGAGTCGTGGAGCAGGTTTGCAGGCAGAACACTGCTGTCCAGTGATGCCCTCTGACTGTCAGTAATAGGGAACAAGCATGATTGATTACATGACTATGGCAGGGGAAACGGGGCCCAGGGGAATAAAGGGTACTGGTCTTTAAGGGGAGCAGGACTTCAAAGAGGTCAAAGGGCAATCAATTTTACGGGAGACGGGAGAACATGTCAGCTATGTATCCTGGGAGACTTCTCGTGCAGATGCTCGGTGTCATTTCTGCGCCACTCCCAGGCCATCTTGACCCTGACCACACAGTCCACAGCTACCCAGGCTTCCAGGCCACCTCGTGATGTGGGCCACTGTCTCAGAGTGCCTTACCCTAATCGTTTACACGCACAGGTGCATAGAGAGGTCCTGCACATAGGTGTAGAGGCCCCGGATGGAAGAGCAGCCACAACAGGCAAAGAAAAGAAACTTACACTGAGGTCAGCAACATCACTGAACACACTCTATAGTTCAACTGACGCTTCAGTCCCTCCCTCCTGCTCTCCCTTTCTTCTCTACTGGTAGCAAGACTATTTTGATGAAGAAAGCAGAGGACTGAATTACATGGTGGCCCAGTTCTTCATCTCATTGCAGATGGGCAACTTGGTTGGGGTCAGTTGAGCCAAGGTGTAGCCGTGGATATGACACAAATGCAGAGTGTGGTTAATATCCTCAAAGACGAAAATAACTGTACTGCTCCAGCAATTCCACTCCTAGGTCTCTATGCAAAGGACACAAAAATGTTAATTCAAAAGGACACCTGCACCCCTTTGTTTATTGCTGCTTTATTTAGGAAAAACATGGAATCAACCCAAATGCCCAAAAATAGATGACTGGATCAAGAAGATGTGGTACATATACTTACTGGAATATTACTCTGTCATCAAAAAGATAAACGCATGCCTTTGTTGGCAATATGGATGGATCTGGAAGAGATCATGCTTAGTGAAATAAGCCAGAAAGAAAAAGAAAATTACTGGATGGTTTCACTCATAGCAGGAGTGTAAGGGATCAGAAAAACAGGAAGAAAAAAGTAATTGTAATAAAGTAAGAACTAAAATCAACAACTGCAAACCAGAGATATTCTACAGGGACAGAGAGGGGCACAGGATCAAAACTGGGGCGGGAAAAGCACACGGGACTATGGTGACAGCACGTGGGGAAGTGGTGGCGGAAGTACACGGGGGTCACAACCGAGATAAAAAAAATGCACAAAAAAACATATAATTGTACATAGATAGAATTTTAAAAAAGAAAAAAGAATAACTACCACTGTATTGCCCTTGGTTTACAAATCATGCACAAACTACACAAATTACCTTCAGTGTTCATAGCAGTTATTCATCGCTCATTCATTCATTCATTTGCTGTGAAAGTGTCTCTCAGTAATATCGTTGGCATGAAGGATCATTAGAAGGAAACAGCAGTGGCGTAAATCTCTGCTCACGGTAACACCACAGCGCTTGCCATACAGGAGCGGGCAGGAACGCCGAATTCTTGTTCTCTTCCTAGGTGAGGATCCTGAACTCTCTGGAATAGAAAGAATCTTAAAAAGACATGAGTATCCAAAGGAGATCAATCTGACCCCAAAGCCAAGCAGTATGCCGCTGTGGCAGAGAAATATCAGGAGCAGCGCCAGCCAGGGATCAAATAAATGCCAGCGAAGCAACCCGGAGATTCCGATGTCGACTGTTGTCGTCAGGTAGGGGACCCACGTTCGTCCCGTACGTCATTAGGGGATCACAGTCTTTAGCCAAAACATGTGGCCTTTTAGGGCCTCCCTGGTGGAGCAAGGGGTTAAGTCCCAACACTATGAAGCTCTCCACAGTCACTGCAGCACAAGGTCATTCCCCGGCCAGGGAGTGACCCGCAGGGTGCAGCAGACGGCTCCTGTCTCCCCACTGCTCCCCTCAGCAGTGGACTTCAGTCAATCTGCCTGTTCTGCTCCCCGCTCTGTCTCTGGTGAATCCTCTCACCCCCTGCACCTCTGGCTCTCATATGCATAAATAAATATTTTTAAAAAAATATTTATTTATGTATATAAGAACTGGGGTACAGGCCAGAGGTTTGAGGGTTCAGGCTGAGGCTCTTTGGCAAATTACACTTGTTTGCTTGACCCACCCATCTTTTTTGAGGCACTTAAGTTGTTTCCATGTGTTGGCATTGTAAATGTCACAGGGGTTCCCCAGGAATGGGGAGGTTCCAGGTTCCCTGTCCCACCCAAAGGAGGGTGGGGCTGATCAGGGAGAAGAATCCAGACCTGAGACTGAAGAGGAAGGAACAGGGTGGAGAGCCAGAAGGTGACCTGAGGGAGGCCCATGGGGGCAGGGAGACATGTGCAGAAGCAGCTCTCGTTTCTTGGTCCTGCACCGTTGAGAGGCGGGTGAGAGACCCGTGAGAGGGTGACAGCGGCCACTTCGATCTGGATCTTGATCTGGCTCTTTTCCTCCCACATCTGTCTGGCCGTTTCAGACCCTTTTCTATGGGTCCCCACTGGAAGCTGCTTTCGAATGTGGCGGGCTTCCGGGCCTCGCTTTGGCCAATCTTGTTTGGCGGGACATTTACCCACGAGGGCACGGGTAAATCCAGGGCTTGATTTGGAAACCATATTCCTTTCTGAAGGTCTTACATGTTTTGTCCTGATGCAGCAGCTGAATCTACTTCCAACGGGCAGGTTTGGGTGTTCTGGGGTGTCTTGTCTTCCTGCCCTGTACCAGAAATAGTGCTGCCATTAACATAGGAGTGAAGGCCACTTTAGTGCTTTAGCGTTCACTGAGTAGATTCCTAGGAGTGGGACTGCTGTGTCATATGGTATATCCGTTTTTTGGCATTTTGAGGTGCCTCCCCCCTGCTTTCTTTTGGGGCCGGACGGTGCCTCCCTGTGGCTGGGACCCGCTTCGCAGATGGTGAGTGCTGAGCATTGCATCATGGGCTGTGTCTTTGGAGAAGTATCAGTCCCTGTCACATGTATGGAGGGCAAGTATTTCCTCCCCGCCAGGAGGGTGTCTCTGGTTCCTGTGTCTTCACTGTACAGAAGCTCTTTGTTCACCGGAGTCCCAATTGTTTATATTCTCCTTTCTTGTTTATTTACTCATATTATTTCCCTGATTTCCTTTCATTTTCTATTCATGTTTCCCCTTAGATCTTCTGCACACATTTGGCAATTGTTTTAAATCTTTGTTCAGTAAATATGGGTCTATTTCAGCAGATTTTTAAAAAATTTCCCTCCCTATGTCTAATTTGGCCCCCCTGTATTTCTCCTACCAGTGAAACCATCGAGTGTTTTTCTTTTTCGTTCTGGCTCATTTCACTAAGCATGATCCCTTCCAGCTCCATCCATGTTGCTGTGAATGGCACGAGTTTATCTTCTCTGACTGCTGAGTAGTATTCCACTGTGTATATGTACCACATCTTCTTGATCCAATTGTCCATTTTTGCTGCAGTGAACATAGATGTGTATTTTAAATTTTTTTATCTTTTACATCATCGTATAGCCCCTGTAAAATTCCAGACACAGTTCACCCATGAACTATCACCACAATCTTGTGTACTCCCCTGTCCTCATTTTGATCCCTTTTCCTCCCTCTCCTTCTCAGAATGGCTCTCATTTATGGTTGCCTACTAGTTTTTTTTATTATCATTATTGTTTTGGGTTTTTTTTTTTTTTTCCTGACCCTTATTTGGTTCCCCTATATTCCTCCTATAACTGAAACCAGCTGATATTTTTCTTTTTCCTTCTGGCTTATTTCACTGAGCATGATCCCTTCCAGCTCCACACCCGTTGCTATGAATGACATGAGTTTATTTTTTGTGGTTGCTGAGTAGTATTCCATTGTATATACAGAGCACATCTTCTCAATCTGTTCATCTGTTTTTGGGCATTTGGGTTGTTTCCGTAGCTCACCTATTATAAATAGTGCTGCAAAAACAGGGCTGCAGGTGTCCTTTTGAATTAATGTTTTTGTGTCCTTCGGGTAGATCCCTAGGAGTGGGATTGCTGGGTCATATGGCAGCTCCATTTTTAGTAGCTTGTACAGCTTTCTATAGTGGTTGGACCAGTTTGCATTCCCACTGGCAGTGTCAGAGAGCTCCTTTACACCACATCCTCACCAACATTTGTTAATTCCTTGGGGGGGGGGCTGTTTTTTTTTTAAGATTTATTTATTTGTGCATACAGAACTGGGGCATAGGCCAGAGTTGCAGGGGTGGTGAGAGGCTTCACCAGAGACAGAGTGGGGAGCAGAACAGGCAGATCATCGAAGTACACTGCTGAGGAGAGCAGTGGGTGGGTCCGGAGAGGTCTGCCGCACCATGTGGGTCACCCCAGGGTGGGGATCAAACTCATGCTGAAGTGGCTTTAGCTTCTTAGTGCTGTACTTCAACCTGCTGCACCACCAGGGAGGGCCCTGTTGTTTTTTAATGATTTATTTATGCATATAAGAACTGGGGTATAAGCCAGAAGTGTGGGGGGGGGTGAGAAGACTCACCAGAGAGAGTGGGGAGCAGAACAGATGGATCTACTGAAATACGCTGCTGAGGGGAGCAGCGGAGAGACAGGAGAGTTCTGCTGCACCGTGTGGGTCAGCTCCCTTGTAGGGGATCGAACTTGTGCTGCAGGAGCTGTGGAGAGCTTCCGAGTGCTGAGACTCAACCACTTGTGCCACCAGGGAGGCCCTGTTTCCTGTTTTTTTTTTTTTTTTTTTTTTAACATGGGCCATTCTCACTGGTATAAGGTGGTATCTCATCGTGCTTTTGATTTGCATTTCCCTGAGTATAAGTGATGAACATTTTTCATGTGCTTGTTGTCCATCTGCATCTCCTCTTTGAAGAAGTGTCTTTTTAGCTCTTCTGAGCATTTTTGTTTTAAAGATTTATTTATTTGTGCATACAGAACTGGGGTACAGGCCAGAGGTGTAGGGGTGGTGAGAGAATTCACCAGACGGAGAAGGGGGCAGAACAGGCAGATGGACGAAGTCCACTGCTTAGGGGAGCAGCGGGCGGGTCAGGAGAGGTCTGCTGCACCATGTGGGAATCGAACTCATGCGGAAGTGGCTTTAGCTTCTTAGTGCTGCGCTTTAACCCGCTGAGCCATCAGGGAGGGCCTACTTCTGCCCATTTTTTGACTAGATCATTTACTTTGATTTTGTGAGCTCTTTGTACATTTTTGCGATTAGTGCTTTATCGGCCATACTATGTACAAAAATTTTCTCCCTGGGATTTTGTTTTTTTAATTAGTCATGTTTCCCTCTTTCACCCTATGGTTAGATCTTTTGCTGAAAATGGAGCATTTAAAATATGAGCTGCCTCTCCCAATATTTGCATGATATGATGGTGTACAGGACTTTCTCTGACTAGCAGGCATCAGCCTTGGATAGCTTAAGTCCTTCTCAGTTCTCTCCTGGGCATGCTTTCTAGCTGGGCCTATATGTTTTCCTTTCATGTTTTAAAAAATCCCACCCTCCCCGCCCTTCCCAAGTCCTCCCCCCCAACCCCCACCCCCTCACTTCACCAGATTGCTCTTAAATGTCTTAATTTCCCAAACACACTGCAGCGTCTTCCTGGGACTTAAATATCTCACTGTCTTCCTCTGCCTATCCACTCTCTCTCTGCATCTGTGGGTCTGCAGTCAGCATGTATGTTGTGTTTCATTGCTGCTTCTGCCTTCCATGGTTTACAATGATGCCAATGTTTCCCATCTGGGCTTTGAGTCAGGAAAGGCAGCCATCAGTCTCTCAGGCCAGAATGTTGCAAACAAGTTCAACTTTGTCCCACTTCTGTCCTAGTGACGCAACTAGGACTTAGGCCCATGACTTCTAGCCTTGCAGAGAAGTGGGAAAGACAGCAGTAGGCCAAGGTGCAGGGGGTGAGAGGATTCACCAGAGACAGAGGGGGAGCAGAGCAGGCAGATAGACTGAAACACACTGCTGAGGGGAGCAGCAGGTGAGACAGGAGAGGTCTGCTGCGCCCTGTGGGCCAGCTGGCTGGGGATGGAACTCAGGCTTATCCGTGATAGCACTGAAATTTAACCCCTTCTCCTCCAGGGAGGCCCTCGTATTGTAATGGCAATATCCAGGAGAAGTCGGGGGCAATGGAGAGGTGGAGATTTACTTGTCACACGTGTGGGGGGTCAATGCGATGGCTCCCAAAAGGCTGAGCCCCGAATTACAGGAATGGTGAGGTTTTCTACGGGTTGTGTGAGGAAGCTTGTCGTCCAGTCCACTTAGACTAAGCATTCTTTATTGTTTGGGGAGAGGGTCAAGGGAGCCATAGCTACTACTGTGGGCCGGCAGCCCACTGCAGGGGCTTTCGGCTCCAAACCAGCCTCCCCCAAGCAGCAGGCCTGGGAAAGCAGCAGATTCTCAGCTGCAGCCTTGGGAAACTTCCTGCTTCAGTAACTGCTGTCATTCCTCACCCGAGTGTTCATTTTTTTACACTCTTCAGTAGGTCCAGTAACTTCTGACAGTGTCAAGGACATGGAAATACTGTGTTGCACGGGCCCTGGGTTCTATTAAAGCCATCAGGAGAATGTTAGGTTCAGCCTGGAAGCGCTGTGCTGATCTTATGTGCATGGGGGTGAAAAATCCAGTTGAGTTCGCAAAGGCTTTGCTGTGCTAGTTTGAGTCTCTCCCACTCACGAGCCTGAGATTACAGTGGGTTCGCACACACAACGAGAGGAATGTCTTGTCCTGCGATTCCCCATTCCCCTCTTCTCTCCCAGGGCTCCTTTTCCTAGTTGGGAAGATGTTTTTCTTTTTTCATTTATTTAGACATACATAACTGGGGTACAGGCCAGAGGTGCAGGGGCTGTGAGAGAGGATTCATTTTGGGGCCTCCCTGATGGTGCGGGGGTTAAAGTCTCAGCACTGTTAAGCTATCTTCAGCCACTGCAGCATGTTGGAGACTCTTTGTCCCTGATTATGGATTATTGGGGGGCAGAACAGGCAGGGTCTCGAGGTGGGATGGCGTCAGCAAGCGGAAATTCCTAGAAAAGGGGGGGAAAAAGGGGAGCGGGCGCCAGGAAGACACAGGAATGGGAGTTGGGTGCAAGTCTTCCTGCTCTGCCTTCCGCAGAGGTTTATTTTATACTTTTCAAGCAGGCAGAGGGATGCCATTAGCATATGAAATGGGCTGAGAGCACAATCACCTTTTTTCTAAGAGTAGTCTGGGGTAGTTTTGACCTTTAGGTGAGATTATAACATTTTAAAAATCAATCTATCAAGGTTAAATCAGGTACAGAGATTCACAAAGTTTAAGACTAATATTACTATATTTACCACAGTGAAGATTAACCAAAATGAAGTCCCTTAAACCGTATCTACTGCTTTCATTCTCATTGAGACATCCTAGGGGGTAAAGTGAGGGCAGGAAGAGGAAATTTGTTGTAAATCAAATTACAGTAAAGTTCTTTGAAAACTTGTTAAAAAGTTTAAGTGAATTTCCTTGAAGCCTAGATGGTAGAAAACCTGATTAGCTCTGAATAGGCGACTTGGGTGAATTTCCATATCTAAAGACTAGATAATAGAAAGCTAAAAGAGTATGTTCCAGTACTGCCTGAATATTGACTTTGCAGTAACAGCCAATGGTTTTTATGAATCAGCCAATTGTAAGACCACTTTTGACTTCAAGAGGAACTCCTCACCCTGGTGCAGTGCTTGCTTGCCTGGGCCAGGCAGGCCTTATGAGCCTAAGGCAATCCAGCTGCAAACTGAAAGCTGTTCAGAATATTTTGATATTATGATTAAATAAAAAAGGGAGGTCATAACATAAGTTAGCGTGGAAATTCTGATTTTTTTCAGAGCACTTCCGTCTCTCTCCAGAATATGTCAGTCAATAGAGGTTGCTTAGCTTGTGTCAACAGCACAAGTTCAAATCCCAGCCAGGGAGCTGACCCACATGGTGCAGCAGACCTCTCCTGTCTCGATGCTCCCCTCAGCAGTGTTTCAGTCAGTCTACCTGTTCTGCTCCCCACTCTGTCTCTGGGGAATCCTCTCACCCCCCATCTCTGGCCTGCACCCCAACTGTTGTATGCATATGTAAATAAGTCTTAAAACAAAAAGACAGAACATTTTGGATTGGGATTTCTACAGGGGAAGAATTAAGAACCAAGCAGAGGTCTACTAAGCATGGGCTACCCAGGAGCAGATGCTGAGGGGAAGGTTACAAGGGAGGAGTGTGTTTAGCTGAGTACAATACTCTCTGCCAGTTCTGCAGCCCCGTAATTACACTCTTGGGGATCCTTGGGGAATCCATGTATCTAGCAATAATCTAAACTGAAAGTTACAAGACAGCTAAGGTGGTTTATAGGTGAGGCTTTTATAAAATAGCACATTCAACAACAATGAAGCCTGTGTAATTAAATAAATAACGTAAATACCAAGACTGAGTCTTGCTTTCCAATGAAATAACCCAACTGTCCCCTCATGTCCTCTTTGAAGCTAATGGGATGACAGGACACTCAAATTCTTATTTACTCTCTAGTAACACTCTTCCTTTCATTTGCTCCCTCACTAGATGGCTGAAAAAGAACTTGCAATCTACCGAAGGCCTTAAGTCAGTGACCCAGAAGCTGTCAGTCTTTGGGCCCATCCAGTCAGTCACCTTCTGTGGACGGCAGAGTGCTATGGTGGTGTTCGAGGATATAGTTTCAGCTTGCAAGGCCGTGAATGCTTTCAAACGCGGGACTCCGGGCACCACGTTTCAGTGTTTCTGGAAACAGCCATTCATGTCGAGAGCCGTAAGACTGGCGTGATCACAAACCTATGTGACGTCTTGGGGTTTGCCTTAGGTCATATCTGTCATCAGGGCGCATGTTAAATATAATCATTGTACATGACACTTTAGCACTGCAAAAAAGGCACAGTGAATTTATTTCATTCAAGTATCGGAAATCAGAAACAGTACCACTTCCGGCCCTCGGAAGTGCTCGCGGTGGGCGGTATCACAGCTTTGCCTTTTTGGAGAGGAAACCCATGACCGCGTTCATGCACTCATCGGAGAGCCATCTGCTCTGCAGGACTTGGCATTCTTCAGCATTCGTAGCATGTAGCTTTTCTTTCTCGTTCTTTCGAATGATCTCTTTTGAAATTTTCAAGGCCTGGAAGATCAAAACCACAAGTGACATTAAGAGCTGTTCTAAGAGGAGTAGGATGATTCTCTCCTACTGCTTCCTGGTCCTCTGTTCGCTTAGGCTTTGGCAAACCTTAAGACATGTGTGTGCCATGAGGCAGCATGTCTCAAATGTCAGTGTACACGCACACCCCTCGGCAGGCGTGGGGCGGGGCTGGGGACGGCCTGTTTTCAAAAAGGCCAAAGGGGTGTTAAAGCCTCTGGGTCTAGGACCACGGGCTGAGCAGCAAGAATCTAAGAGCATCAGTCCCTGGCTATCCTGTGTAAAAACAAACTGCTGGACAGGAAGGGTCTGAGTGCTAACCCACCTGCTTTTTGCTTACCATCTTTTCCAATTCACCTCCCCTTGTGTTATCAGAGAAATGGAGTACCCACTTGATATGTTTTACAAAAATCAGAATGTCTAACATTAATAGGGTTATTTTTGAGCTCAAATTGTGATGTGCTCAAAGCCAACCAAGATATGCTCTGCTTTTTTTTTTTTTTTTTTAAATTCTTTAGTCTCTTAAGGCCAATAAATTACTTCCATGCCTCCTACAAAGTAAAATGAAAGTGAATACTAACGTTTGGGGGCAGCTTTGAGAAGGCCTTCAGCCTAGTCCAAACTTCCTTCTGAAAAGTGCTGTCAGGGAAAACTTGCGTCACGAGGCCCTGAGCACACGCTTCGCCTGCTGTGATCTTCTTCCCAAAAATAAGCATCTCTGCAGCCTGAAATGAGAAGCAAGACGGAGATATTACCTTCCCTCAAGGCTCAGTTAACTTTGGAATCAACTGCTTCCAGCAGCTGGAGGGACATTTACTTATGAGCTTGTAAGATTATATTATTTCCCCCTAAGAAGAAACTGATGACCCGAATAAGCAAGGACTTGCACAGTGTGCAAGCAGACTCTCCAGAAGGTTCATCCCGGGCTGCATGTGTGTGTGTGTGTGTGTGTTGGACAGGAAAGAGCAGGGAGCCAGGGGCCGACGCGGCCTGCAGCAGATACTGAGTGGGTGGGGCGTGGTGGCTGTGGTTCATACACTATAGTACTTAACAAGGGAGAATAGAATAAAAAGAATAATCACGGCTTTAGGACGCCAGCCAACCTTGACAAAGCCGATCTTTCAAAATTCTCTTCCCTGCAAACTGTCCAGTCAGGGGTGTAGCTCTGACAGCTTTCTTTACCTACACAAGTAACTCAAATCAGTTCTACTGGGTGCGAGGAAAGAGGAGCCTGAATGCAACTTCTCACTGGGAACACTAGGTGGACACTCGTCTCTCCTTTCAGTTCACACCTCTCATCTGTTAGGGGGTGACCTTTGGAATGGGAAGTGAATCATTAATGCTTATTTTTAAGTTCCCAAAAGTTACCTTGGCTGAGCCCATAATCTTTGGGAAAGTGTAGGAGGAGCACCCTTCTGGACTTTGGCCCAGGTGAGTGAACGGAGTATGAAAGGTTGCCTGTTTGGAGAGAAAAGAAAAGATGATCATCTTTCCATAGGTGATTAAGAAAATCACTCTGGCTATAGCCTCATTATACGTAACTGGAAAATTGACCAAAATAAAGGAGATCAGGATTAGTTTGCCACCACACACACAGAATCTGCTCTTTGAACACGGGCATACACTGAGGCAGCCACCACCGTAACTGGGGTGTGTGTGCCCGTCACCCCAGAGTGTCCTTGAGCTCCTCCGCTCTCAGTCCATTCTTCTCACTCCCCCACCCCAGCCACCACTGATCTGTTTCAAGCTCCACAGATGCCTTCTAGTAGGTCCTGTAAGTGGGATGAGACAGCATTAGCCTTTCGTTCCCTTGTAGCATCTGTCCTTCACTCAGTGTACCTGTACGTAGCCTGTATTTTGGCTTGGATTCCATTGCACGGGTGCATCAATTTGCCTATTTAATTTTACAAATTTTTGCATAGAAGGTCTGGGGTACAGGCCAGAGGTGTGGGGAGTGAGAAGATTCACCAGAGACAGAGTGGGCAGCAGAACTGGCAGATGGACTGAAATCCACTGCTGAGGGGACAGCAGGGAGACAGGAGGGGTCAGCTGCGCCCTGTGGGTCACTCCCTGGCTGGGCATCGAACCCAGGCTGCAGCAGTGATAGTGTTGACACGTTAACCCCTCCGCCACCAGGGCAGCCCAATTTGGCTATTCACTGACCAACTAAAGCTAGGTATTATTTCCAGTATTCTGGCTACTGTGAGTTGGGCTGTTATACTCAGCAGTGTCCAGGCCTCTGTATTTCAGTTCTCTGGGGTGAATATCTCAGAGTGGAAATGCTGGGTCGTGTGTAAGTGTCTGACTTGACTCTACCAGAAGTTGCCTAACAGTTCAGCGTGGTGTGGTGCTGTTTAGTGTCCCCTCCACAGCTCCTGCCTTCCAGGGGTCGCTCATGTTCACCGAACCTTTCTTTTGTCAGCCTGGTCAACCACACGGTACTTCCCTAATGATTCATGATGCTGAGCACCAATTCATGGATCTTTATTTGGGTAATATTAGAATGCTTTACCCACTATCTCTAAGTCAGATTAGTTGTCTTTTTATTATTGAGTTGGAGGAGTTCTTTATATATTCTGATTACAAATCATGTTCTTAGTTGTGTTGAGTCACTTGTGCTTTATTTTCTGTGGCCTACTTGTTCCTCATCACTGCCCATTTTTATATTAAGTTGTCAATATATCACTGTACAGGAAAACATTAAAAAAAATCAGAGAGGGCCCTCCCTGGTGGT